TGGAATGAGTTTTTTCTTAAGCTAGGGAGTTAACCCCGTGTCCAGGTATACCTTTTTATCTGGCAGATGTTCAATCAGTATGACCTGCTCCAGCTTTTCGACCATTAATTTGGTAGTGTCGGAATCATCGGGAACTATAAAGGATCGAGGAACCCCATAATCATCGTCTTTGTCAGTCCCCTGCTTGTCCAGTTGGGTCGAGGCTGTCATCGATGATTTATATTTGGCTTCCTATTTTGCTTTCAACATGACTCCTTTGTTGATGAGAGTGTTGATATCGGAATTACTTCATTAACGGCAAATATCTCCTTTGCGGCGGATTGCTCCCCGTAGATAATCTTTATCCCTTCTAGTGTTGGAAATTTTAATACCTGGTGAAGAGTCGAGGACACAACCCTCATATTGTGGATCCATGGTCTCCTAAATAAGGCATTGTACCTCATGTCCCCTTCGATCACTTAAAAATTGGTCTCCTGAGTGGTTCTGGCTACGTTTACTGGTAACGTTATTTCTCCCTTAGTAGTTTTGCAAGCCATGTTGAATCTGTTTAGCACTCACGACGCAGACACGATTTGGTCCTATAGGCCGAGTTGCTCTATGACCCTCGATCGAATGATGTTGGCCGAGCTACGTGGATCCATTAACACACGTTTAACTCAAGTTTTATTCATGAGTACAGATATTACCAGTGCATCATTATGGGGCTGCATGATTCCTTCTGCATCCTCGTCTCGGGTCCTTGAGGAACATCGACCCCTCCGATGATCATATGAATGACGTGTTGAGGTATGTCTTGCTCGTTTTGTTTATTAGAATCCATGTTTCTAAAATGATTCTTGGCTCGGTCGCTCAAAAATTCCTGAAGGTTGTTGAATAACCGGGCTACTTCTTCTCTCAATTGTCAACAATCCTCCATCATGTGGCCATGAGTGCCATGATATTTGCATATTTGGTTGGGATTCCTTAGGGATGGATCGCTTTGTAAGGCCCAAGGCCATTTGGTATCTTTGATACGTCCGATAGGCGATACGATGGCAGTTGCATCAATATTAAAGTTGTACTCTGATAATCGTGGTGTTTTTTTAGGTTCGATAGGTCTGTCGAAGTTGTTCATGCTCATGAGCCCTCGAGAGTTGTGGCCTCGATCACTTCTCCTTTCATTTTATGCAAAATTTGCCCAGATATGTTGCTCATATGATCTCCATTATATGGCTTATATCGATCTTTGTTCAACCTCGGTTCTCGGTCAATATCCCTCTTGATTCTATCGATGGGTCTGATAGGATAAACGGACTCATAAGGATACCCAAGTTGATCGTCTTCGACCCCGATATTTGATTGATACCAATTATGCACATCAACCCAAGTATGAGCCAGGTATTCTATCAAATTATGCTTCAACTACTGTGAATACATTGAGCTTCGAACATTGAGTCCTTGGGTGAAAGCTTGGACAGCCCAATCATCAGCAACCGGTGGCAAGTCTATCCATTCCATTTGGAATCGAGACACAAATTCTCTGAGCATTTCGTTGTCCTTCTACCTTACCTTGAAAAGGTCCGACTTCCTAGTTTCACCCTTGATAGACCTGGCGTGTGTCTTTACGAAAGAAACTACAAGCATAGAAAATGAGTCAATAGAATTAGGTGGTAAATTGTGGTACCATATCATAGCTCCCTTTGACAGGGTCTCTCCAAATTTCTTTAGCAAGAAAGATTCGATCTCGTCATCCACTATATCGTTCCCTTTGATAGCACATGTGTTAGAGGTGATGTGCTCATTTGGATCAGTCGTTCCATTGTATTTAGGAATATCGAGCATGCAGAACTTCTTGGGGATCGGCTTGGGAGATGCGCTCGGTGGGGAAAGGTTTTTGCACGAATTTTTTGGAGTGCAGACCCTTCAATATCGGTGGTGCCCCCAGGATTTGATCGATCTTGGAGTTGTAAGTTTCCACCTTCTTGTCGTTTGCCTTGATCTTTTTTTCCCCTACTCAATTTGTTTTGTTAGTTCTTAGAGCATCTTCATGATTGCAGGATTGGTCTCCGATTCTTTCTCGTTCGATTTCCTTGAAATCAATTCGACCATGTGGACAATTTCCTGAGACAGCTCAAGCTCGACCCTACTCGGTGGGTGATTTTGTGTTAGAGCTCGGTTATCGTTGCATGTTGAGCCTGCAACATTTCGAAGATCACCTGCAGGCTGATCCTGCCATCTTCGCCGCCATTTGTGCTTTGAGCGACTGATCGAACATCCCCACGGACGCTGCCCTCGGGATCGATGACTAAATTTGCGTTGATGGCTACATGTGAGCTGACGTTAATTGGATCTACAACCGGAACTCCATCGATGCCAACCAGGGGTAAATTGTTCCCTGGTGCTATGTTATCAATTTCATCGTGGTGGCCGAAATCATTGTCAACGTGTAGAGGTGCTGACTAAGAGTTCAATATTTTGTTCCTGAAATCAAAGATACTCTAAAGAACAGGTGTAAAATAATGTGTATTATGAAAGGTTGTACCAGATAATCACTATTATCCTTAGCCACACAGTGGGCACCAAACTGTTTACCTTTAAAATTGGATAACAATTGAATTTATACGCGATTTTAAGGATATGTGATATAACTTGATACAAATTAAGAAGACAGGTTGATATTGAAATTAACGATAAGAAAATAAATGCAAACCACACAAATTGAATATCCTTAGCCTCTGAGTTTGATCACCCTCGAGCCAAGGAACGTCACAACTAATGTTAGAGTTACAAGATGACAAGAACTAGAAATGATCAGAATATTGCTTTCTTTGTCCGTGCTACAGTGTGTCCTATAAATGATAATAACCCCTGTTTATATAGTAGGGGTGTCCTACTCTTGGTACAATTCTATACAAAGTAAAAATCTCATGATTTGCCAATTAATCATCCTCTTCTTGATACGTGCAGAAATTTTCATCGTACTTTTCGACCGATTGCGGATATTTTGGCTTTCCGTTATTTGGCTCAACAAGTTTCCCTCCATCTTGTTCGGTCTCGATCTTGTTCGGTCTCTAGGTTACGAGCTCGACGATCTAATTTTGCGCCTTGGTTTGATATAACCCGAGCTCGAGCTTTGACCTGCCATGTTTCAGCCTCGATTGATCAAACAATGGACGAACCCAATTTCGACCATATACAGAAGTATATCATTTTTACCTCATATTATATTCGCATGTGCGATGAATTCAGGATATGGGACGCAAGTTCAAGTTAGTAGTCATTACAAAAGCATATTAAAATATGGATATGGTTATTAATCCAACACCACCTCAGGCTCAAATAGGATTTGCTTTTTCCAATAATATTTTCTACTGTTATACTGGTTTTTGATTCTTCTTAATTAATCAACATGGTCTTGGAAAAGTTATTGCAATGGTGGGAGATGGAATTAACTACCCACTAATGTATTTTAGAGGTGAATATAATTTTTAATATATGTGCAGGTTCTCGAACATGCAATTAATATTAGTATCATATAAAAGTAGTCTCGAAGGTAATCCGCCTAAGCTACTGTTTGGCATTGTGCTTTAGCTGTTACATCATAATTTCCATAAATAGGTTACAGAATTTAAATTTTATATTTGCATAAATTGGCCTAATATGCATTTAATTGGATAAACATAATCGATGAGAATTCATATGGCCGACTTCATTCGTTTAAATTATGGTGTAGTTGTTATTGTTGTTGAGATTCCACGTAGCAGTTGTAGGTAAGATCTACGTGACAGCGATTGTGTTCTTAGACGACTATGTTATTACACGTTAATTGAAGTACATTGAATCTACCACTATGTGGTTGATTTTGAATCAAAAGTGCTAATAATTACTCCGATTCCATTCATTGTCCTCGTACTGCATGCATGCCGAGTCGAATTAATATATTATTTTTTAACTTGAAATAATCTTTATGCTAAGTTCATACGTGGCAGCGTGTGTTCAATAGCACAACATGAATAATGTTGAAGTGTCTAATAGGAACAAGCCTTAGTTCAAATATCTAAATGAAAATTGATAATAACTTTAAGAGACCGCATAAATAAATTGAAGCGGATGTGTGCCGCGGAGTTTATATTTGCAAAGATAAGTTTAAGGCCTTTTATTAAGCCGCACCTAACTAAAGTAATATCCCGTGCTGCAAGCCGCAGCCTATGACAAGACAGACTTTGGTAATTCATTATAAATATTTGGATAGCTCTACAGTTGCAACTGCAGAGATGGGTAGCATTCATTTCTCTTTGAAAATATTGGTATCTAACTAGTCACATACCACATAATATGGGTACTCTCATATTGTCTTGAGAAAATTTCAGCATATATAGTAGGTACTGGACTCCATCTACATAAGTAGAATCATTCAAGAAATCCAGGTGATTTTGTACATGTGCAAATGCTTTACTTAATTAGTTTTCCAGTATAATTTCCCTGCAACACATAGTTTTCCAATACTTGTTAGGCCTGATAATATCTTATGTACAAGGATTTATAATATGAATTTAACCCCCATAAGTTTTCTTACCTCTAGCTCACTTCTGCGAACATTCTTCATCAATGGAATCGTGCTGCATTAATCAGTTTCTAGAAGGCAAGACCATTTTCATCACTGGTGCAACTGGCTACCTAGCAAAGAGTACCTTCTCTTTCTCTGTCCTATATATAGGTTGCACTAACAGTGCTTCTTGAGGAGATGATAACATAGATGAAATTTCTAGTGCTTTATTTGTTACATATTAATGTAGTTCTCATCGAGAAGATACTCCGTGTCCAGCCAAATGTGAAGAAGCTCTACTTGCTAATTAGAGCTCCAGATTCAATTCAGCTAAAGAGCGTTTTAACAACGAGGTACGTACTACTGCAACATAACCAATAGTAGTAGCAGTAGAAATAATAGCCATCATATTAGACTATACAGCTCCAATCCACATGACAATCCAAGATTTTCAGAGTTAAAGAATATGTTTTAATTGCAGGTGATAAAGACGGACCTGTTCAGAGTTCTAAGGGAGAAGTGGGGTGCAAAGCTACATTCCCTTATAGAAGACAAGGTTTTCCCAGTTGTTGGTGATATAGCTTGTGATAGTTTGGGGATAAATTCTGAGATGAAAGATGAGATGTGCAGAGAAATAGACATAATTGTAAACTCAGCTGCTACGACAAGATTTGATGAAAGGTAGTTCTGTAGAATAACAATATTATTCCTTGAAAAAAGAATAGAATAATGTACTCCATTCTTTTGCAGATATGATACTGCAATAAGGATCAATGCATTGGGTACCTTGAATGTTCTCAAATTTTCCAAGCAGTGTTCAAAACTAAAGATGCTTCTCCACGTAAGCATAGGTCAGCTCCATAGTCTTCCTTGTGCTTAATTAACCAACATTCATTATCATGACTTTGGGCCCGCGCATTGACTTAACATAAAGACCGATTCTTTTCAGCCTATGTTTGTGGAGAAAAGGAAGTATTGATACTAGAGAAACCATTGCACTATGGAGAGACGCTTAATGGAGGCTCTCAATTGGACATAGAAGTGGAGCAAAAGTTGGTAGAGGAGACACTAAAAGACCTTAAAGCTAGGAATGCCACTGAAAAAAAAGTAACTTTAGCTGTGAGAGTTCTAGGTAATGAGAGGTAAACGTTCCATAAAATCAGCCTCATTGATAAAATTGGTATTTGTACCCTATTCTTTTGAAGATTTATAGGGTTCTTTACCACCTTTCACGGCAATTATGATTCTTCAGGGCAAAGATACATGGATGGCCAAACACATACTCGTTCACAAAAGCAATGGGAGAGATGCTTTTGGGACACCTGAAGGAGGATCTCCAACTCATAATCCTTCGGCCAACAATTATATCGAGCACATACAAGGAGCCATTCCCAGGATGGAATGAAGGACTGAGATAATGACTATATACCATTCATGCATGCACACATGGAAAAGAAGAATAAGTCTTAACGAAACCAATCAGATTCTTCCTTCCACAGAACCATGGACACCTTCATTGTTGGATATGGTAAAGGGAAACAGAATGTTGCGATGGGTGATAGAGAATCAATACTGGATGTCGTATGTGACTCATGTGTATACCTTATCTCATAATGGAATGCACAAGTTTCTCTTATTTGCATCAGCTGGTCTTAATTAGTTCATCTACACTTCGAGTTCCTAAGTATGCACACTTTCTTAATGCCATCTTGCAATTTTGCCCAGATTCCAGCTGATATGGTTGTGAACTCAGTCATCGCGGGAATGGTAACCCGTAGAAATCGATCTTCCCATACAGCTATTTACCATATTAGCTCCTCTAGGACGAATCCACTAAAAAGTACTGATCTTATGCAATTTTCCGCTGAATACTTCAAGAAGAATCCATGGATTAACGAAACAGGAACGCCAGTCAAAGTCAAGAAATTTCATTTACTGGATAGCATGGCTAGCCTTCACACAAATACATAGCTATCCACTACATGCCATTATTAAAGGTTAGTTTTCATAGTAATGTCTTCTTAGATAAACTGTAAAATTTTAGCCTTTTTGGCTTCACTTGACCATGAAGTAGATAGTACCAACTTGGATTATTTGTGCTTATAGATGCATTTATTGGAAAAATATGGGATACCACACATATAAATTTCAACATTTCTAACATAGAACACTAATCAGTTAGACCAAAACTCTCTTTCGTTGAAAATCAGCTGGTATAAACTAGAAAACTCGTGATAAATACAGGTAAAAGAGGAAAAGACCATGGTATGCAAGAGAGATGTATCAAAAAAACAGACAGAGTGTTTATGAATGTTGACATGCACTTGAGCATTGATCGGTCACCACTGGTTAAGTTTATGTTTTAACATGTTTCAGATATTAAAGTGGGCAAACTTGATACTTTGCCAACATTTGCAAGAGCTGCATACAGACTTGGAAAGAAGGATCAATCTCGTCATTCGACTAGCTGAACTCTACAAACCCTATACATTATTCAAAGGAATGTGAGTTCATTAGTATTATGTTATATTAACACATTCAAGTAGTCAACAACAGCTCGTTTCAGTATTTATTAATTAATCAAATTTAAAGCTGTGCCTAATTGCTATTCTAATACCATTACTGCTGATTTTTACCAGTTTCAATGATACCAATGCTGAAATGTTGCAAATGGCAACAAGAGAAAGTAATGCAGATGATACATTTAATTTTGATCCAAGAACCATTCAGTGGGAAAAATACTTCAAGGAAATTCGTATTCCCGGATTAGTGAAATATGTTTTCTAAATAAACAGAATTATGCGAATAAAAAAGGCTGATATGCTACACTGCTTAAAGCTGTGTTGCTGCTTAAATTCCATTATGAAGTTGTTCAAATGACAATGTCAGTTCAAGAAAATATTGGCGGTATTATATGTAATTGAAGGACTGCTTTCTTTGTTTCACATATAACTAATAGTAACTATTTACCAGCAAACTGAACTCAAAGATTGGGTTCATTTTCTTGTACATATGTTACGGCTTTCATCAGAAGAATAAGTAGCTTTTATATATCATACACGATTTTATATGATGTCTATTCATTTCTCCATTTTTTTTTTCTGATTGATAATTTATGTCAATACATCAACAACTTGATCGATCCTTTATTTGATCATTCTTTCTTCTTCTTTTTTTCAGCTATAGCAAGTGAAAAATTGCTTCAACTAATTAGAAAACAAATTAAAGAAAAATGTCCAAGGATCAGATAATTATTTATGCAATTTTCATCCACCAAAATTCAAGAGTTAAACAAGTAGAACAAGGACTGAAACATTAATAATTTAGCAAGTAGAGGCCAATATGAAGAAATAGATAATTAATTACCAATCTCTCAAGAAGGATGAACCTTGCTAGAGCTGTGAGAAGAAATGGCTTTAATAGCAGATTTCATAGAGGCACCAGCAGAATTAACAGCACTTTCAATATACTTTTTAGCAGCAACTGTAGCCACTTTTTCCATAGTTTTTCCCATTTTTCTTGCTCTTTCAGCAACACCCACTAAGCTATCATACTCAGCTTTAGCCATTTGGTTCATTTCTTCCTCGAAGCGGCGGAATTCTTCCATGGCGTCTTCCATTGCAGTGTTGAGATGATCCTCTGCTTCTTTCATGTAATTCTCAGCTTCTTCAACTTGTTTTTCTTGATCTAATTCCATAGCTGCCCAAGCCTTATAAGCTTCCACTTCGAAGAGTTTCATGAGATCATCTTCTATGGTGTAAGGGTCGAAGTTCTTGTCCCAAAGAGCTTGATCTGAAAGAATGGTGAATTGAGCAAAAAGAGCCTCCATTTTTTTGTGTTACTGTTTTGAATTTGGGAATGGAGAAAAATGGGGTTTCAGAATTTCAGTGGTGAAGGGAATTTATTCATTTGGATTTGATGATTGAAACAGTGTTTAGATAGTCGAAAGCCACTTTGGTAAAGGAATGGTAGATAGGGCCCCCAACATGCTCCTCCAAGGCACACCAACGGTTCAGTTGAATTTAGGCACTATCTTGCTTCTCTCTTTTTCCTTTTATTTTTTAGGGAAAATTTTACTAATTGGGCTCCTTACTTTTCAATTTTATAGCACATATTTCAATTTATAATTAACTAGCCTAAAAATAATATGCTAATATTCAACATTCAACTTCAATAGGTTTTCAAAACTACTAGTTAATTTTTAGAAAAGATTGCTCAAACTTTTAAGTTAATTTTCGAATCAGTAACTGTAACTCAATTATTAGTTCAACAAACTAAATCTATTTGGGTGGTGAAAATTAAATTTTTAACAAGTTTAAATATGTGGATTTAAATTCTGAATTTGATTTTGTGAAAAATCTGGAATGGTGTTATTTAGGCTTGTTAGAATAGTATATAGAGGTTGTATCTAAAATTTGAAGTCATTTAATGGAGTTTTGGACTTTGTTTGAACAAGTATTATAACTGAAAATCGTGGAAGAAGTTCGTCTATAGACGTTTATATAAAGGTGTATAAAAATGTATAATAGTGTATAAGGTGTGTTTCTACACTCATATACACTATTATACAAGATTATACATAATTATACAAAAAAAAACTGATTTTGTCTTCTTCCTTGCGCCTTTTTTGAAATTTAACTCAAATCTTGCTCAAATCACTTTAAATTTAAATTTTGAACTCCTTTTGATATTTTCAATCAATTGGAACAACGCTCAATCCAAACAACTAACAAACTCAAAAAAAAACCATTTTCGAAAGCAAAGCTTTGAATGGTCTTCAATGGTAGACTTCTACTTTTTAATTTTCTTACATTGCAACCAGGTGCACAAGAGGAGAAGCAGAAAATATACGACCCCTTGAAGCATATGTAGAATATGTGAGAAGAAAAGAGAGTGAAAACAATGATTGTGAGAATACAAATTTAACTCCATAGCTTTTAGAAGCAATGGTTGTAAGGGCACAATTTTTAATTTGTTAGTGCTTTCAAAATATGTGCAATATGGGCTAGGTCGGGTAAAACTTAAAAACATGGGCTTTTTTTGTTATGGTGTGAAGTCATGTGTATTTTCTTGTAATTCTTTATTTTTTTAATTCTTTTTTTTTATTTATAGAAGTACATTTTTCTAGTACTTTTTCTTTATTTCCTTTTTGTTTTATCAAGTAGGTGTTTGAACATAAAAATTACGTATAATTTTTGAATAAAATAGTATTTGGAGTTAAGTTGAAAAATGGTGTTTGTAATTTAAAATTGGGTTTGGACATGTATTTCACTTGAAAAATATTGAGTTTTGTGAGTGGGAAAAATAAGATTTTGAAAATCTTGATATTGAAAAATTCATTTTCGAATTTTTTAAAAAAAACTTGCAAAATTTTATGGACAAACACATTATTGAAAAAAATTTGAAAAAATTAAAATATTTTTTATGGACAAACGGGTCCTTAATAAGTTGAATTTTGAAATCGTAACACTATAATATAAATTGTTACTTGTATAATAACAAAATAACTAAAACTGGATTTGTTATTAACGGGAGAGGAAATTTCAAAAAATATTACGATTTTATATTTAATTACAATTCGCATTTATTGTTTCAATATTTATCATTCATAGCAAATCTTTCCTTGTTAGACGTCTGTATTCACTGTATTGGTTCGTGCAACTAATACAAAGTGTGTCAACTATATTTGTTCGCGCAACTAATACAACCTGTATCAACTGTATTTAACGAATACAACCAAAACAAATACAAAAATACAGGTATATGTACAAGGATACAAACAACCAAAATACAATACATTGGTACATAACCACAAAATACCATCAAACATATACAGTACCAAAAAAATATCATACCTGAAAAACAAATACATACATGGTACAAATCAAGGCGAAATATAGAAAATACGGGGTTTTGCTGAAAAATTCCTCTCTCGTAATATAGAAGTACAAGTACATTTATTATAAAATTCAAATATATCTACCGATAATAATTTTATAAAGTGTAAATATAAATAATAAATACTGGGTATAAATTAGTTACACCATACAATTTTTATTTTAATGGAAATGTCTAAGGGGGTGGTGAAGTGGGCCACGAGTGTAGCATTTTGTCAAAGCCATCATCAATCCTTAGGGACAAATAAATGTGGGTAGTACTAGTCTTGACTTGTAATTATGCTTATTCGATGTAGCCGATTACATCACAAATTATTATGTATCACATCTTGGTTTCTTAGTTCTTAAATCGAACAAATTGATCTTTCAAGCAATTATATGCAAAAGAATGGTAAAAACTTACCCATATCGGATGTATACCCAATTTAATTAAGTTAATCATAAATAACAAACTAAAGATTATTAGGAGTCTTATTTCCGAAGAACAATTTTTTTAAAAATGGAGTATATCTAATATAAAGTATCGAGTAAAATTTAGGTTTTTCGTCACATTACTATCTTTAATTTCGCTCAATTTTCTTCACATTGGTTTCATTCTTCATCGCAGATTTAACAAGAAGTTGAAGTTTACTTTTTCAACGATGCAATTGCAAAATTAATGTACATTATTATGCCAAAAACTCAATTGAAAATGTATTGGGGGAGACAAGTTTTGCAAATAAGCATAGGCTATCTTTTGCTTAGGAGTAAGCAAAATTAAATTACAAATATATAACTTCAATAAATGTGGAGCTATCTTTATATTTTTATTGAACATTTGAAAGTATCAGGAAAGAAATGTAGTCCGCCTCTTCTTCTTTTTTTCCCCTTATTAATAAATCCTAATAAACTACATCTTTGTTTTGTCGTATAATCTATGGAATAATTTTTGAACAAATGAATATCTAGCTACAAACTTGAGTTTTTCCTAGTTGGTTTCTTGTGTTTTCGGTAACTTGCGGTTGATTCAAGTTGACGTTAATATAAGGAACATAACAAAGAATAGCAAAATTATTAAGTAGTTTTATACTATTATTTAAAATCATGTGAAAAATATGTAGTAGTTAACTATGGTTATATACTAAGAAATGTGGTTAAATAAAATGACATGTGTCATTTATTTATAGGATGGGTGTAAACAATATTTACCCAAAAGAATTGATAATATGGTTGATGACTCTGTTCTCAAGTTGAGTAAACTGTCTTTCCAAGCAAATTAAATGGTGAGGCAAATATTTGACCAAATTGATTTAGTTGTAAGATTAAATGAACTTGTAACTCTTCGAACCAAATAAGTTAAGAGCAAACAACTAGGAGTACATTACCATCGCTAGGAGTCATGTTGCTATGGACTGGATAAATGAAAATAGGACTCTACGTTTTGATCCTAATTTTCTTTGGGAAGATTAAAGCGGCCATCAATAGCTTTTCTTATATAGACACTACTACTCACTCGTTAAGAACATCAAATATCAAATTTGTCTAAATTATGAGGTTTGTATCATGAGGAATATATTAATGCAAATGAAGTTTCATAGATTTTAATATGAGAAGAATGCCATAAAAGTTCTCCCAATAGATGATTTCATTGTGATAAATCATTTATTTACAAATTAGAAGAGAGAAAAAAAGAAGAAGATTAATTGGAAGAAAAAGAATTTAAGCTTATCTGATAATTTCATTGAATCATTGGTGATCAATTATTTATCTATATACTCTTCCAATCATCATATTCGAAGGAACAAACTGTTTCACCACTGAAACCCCATTTTTCTTCATTCTCGAATTCACATCAGTAGCACAAAACTGGAGGCTTTTTCTGAGTATGATTGCTGCCAAAAATTAAAGCAATTTCCTCTCACTCTAACAAGGTTCGTCGTTCTTGAGAGATGGGTAATTAATTATTTATTTCTTCATATTGGACTATACTTGCTAAATTAATAGTTTCAGTCCTTGTTCTACTTGTTTAACTCCTGAATTTTGGTGAATGAAAATTGCACAAATAAGTACCAGATGTCCAGATCCTTTCTTGGAACAAAATTTTCTTTGTTTATTTTTTAGTTAGTTGAAGCAATTTTTTCGCTTGCGATAGCTGAAAAAAAAGAAGAAGAAGAAGAATGATCAAATCAAGGATCAATGAAATTGTTACTGTATTGGCATAAATTATCAACAGAACAAATAATTGAAAAGCTATATTTTTCTGATGAAGGCAAGTAACATATGTACCAGAAAAGAACCCAATCTTTGACTTCAATTAGCAGGTATATAGTATATGCGAAAAAATGAAAGTGGTTCTTCAGTTACATATAATACTTCCATTATTTCTTTAACGACATAGTCATTCAAACAAATACATGATGGAATTTAAGCTTCCTTTTAACACATAATCCTTCTTTCTCAGAAACTGTACTTCACTAATCCAGGAATATGAATTTCCTTGAAGTATTTTCCCACTGAATAGTTGTTGGATCAAAATTAAATGTGTCATCTGCATTACTTTCTCTTGTTGCCATTTGCAACATTTCAGCATTGGTGTCATCGAAACTGGTAAAAATCAGCAGTAATGGTGTTAGAATAGCAATTTGGATCAGCATTAAGTTTGATTAGTAGTAATTAGATGCTTAAACAAGCTGTTGCCTATTTGGATGTGTTAATAAAAAACTACTGACATCTTCCCTTCTTTTATGGTACAAATCAGCAGTAATGGTGTTAGGCCAATGAGTGGTTCTTTGCTTTATTCAGTTCCCCTTTTATTTCTTTTCAGGCAGTTTTAGTCTGTACTAGTATATCACGCTTTAAAAAGTTGACTGATGTTAGTTCAAACATCAAGGAGTTTAAATCAAAACGAACTTTGAATTAAAACTTAAAGAGGAAGAGAGGAAAGGACGCCCAAGATTAAACTCACATTCCTTTGAACAATGTGTAGGGTTTGTAGAGGTCAGCTAGTCGAATGACGAGATTGATCCTTCTTTCTATGTCTGTGTGCATCTCTTTCAAATGTTGGCAAAGTATCAAGTTTGTCCACTTTAATATCTGGAACATGTTAAAATATACACT